ATATACATATACATATATGTATAAATATATATATATATATGTATGCCAGTATATATGCTTAGGATTGAGGGCCGAGGCTTTGGTTTTGGCTGTCCCGCAGAGCCGTAGACTCTTCGAGTAGCTTTACTGAAAGCATCGTTCTTGAGTACGGCAGCTTGCTCCCCATAGGCGGCCCTTGTTTGTAGCCGCGAAGGTCTGCTTGCATTGAGGTTATGACTCGGTGCACCCCTGGTTAGTGCACCCCCCAAAAAAAATCAGGGCCCTTCATATTCGGATCCCAAATATAATACCCTAAACCCTAAACCCTTCATGTTAGGATCCCACGTATAATCCTCTTTGCTGGTCCGGGGTTCATGCAGCAAATCAGGGGTCTACACTCGCTGTAGCTGCCTCAGCGTTGCCTGAAACCTCTTTCAAGCCACGGCTACCTAGCAAATCCTATAAACCCATGAACCCAATGCCTGGAATAGGAAGTCTACAGTATGAACATGTCCACGTCTAAGCTCTAAAAGTGTGCCCCTGAGCCTAAGCTGACTGAAACACAATGCAGTGCTCCAGGATTTGAGTCCCCTTCTCCTCGGCTGCGGCTGCCTCCCGTGATGAGGAAGCGTAGATTTGGGATTTAGGGCTCAGGGTTTAGGGTTCGGGTTCAGGGTTTAGGATTCGGGTTCAGGATTTAGTCTAGGACATTTTCAGGTGGGTAGTTACCGTTATAGGAGCCTTATAGAAGGTCTATATACCTTATAGAAGCCTTATAGAAGCCCTATATACCCTAAACTCCGCACTAGTTTCCTTTAATTTAGGGCTTCGGGTTCAGAGTTTGGGGTGATGCTTGCGCAGGTCTTGAGAGCATCGAAGTTATTTTGCAGTGCCTGAGCACTTCTTGAAGCGATGCTTTCTCTGGCGTGCCCGAGGGCTCCAGGTACCTGATTATTCGGTTACTGGGATTTACTGGGTTTCATGATATGGGGGGTTTCCGAAAATAGTGGACCCTAATATAGTACCTAAATAGTAGGATCCTTATTCTGAGGACCCCCAAAAAAGGTACCCCTTATTTTTGGAAACTCCCATACATGGTTAGGAACCTAGGATTGAGGCATGTGGAGCTCAAGGGTTGAGTTAAGCTCCAGGCACCTTGGAACCGTTTTTCTGGAGGCCCATGGGACTTAATAAGTACCTTAATTTGGAGTTAAATAAGTAATTATGCTTATAGTTACCTTATCTATACCCCTTGTTACCAAGTCCCATGAACCTTTAAGTAAGATTGGAGAACCAGAGTTCGAGTGCTCAGTACTCAGGGGCCCTTTGGGTTCGGGGATGACCGGGGCCTGAAGGACTACACGTGTTTAGGGTTTAGGGTTTAGGGTTTGGGTTTAGGGTTTTGGGTTTAGGGTTTGGGTTTAGGGTTTTGGGTTTAGGGTTTGGGTTTAGGGGGGTTTTGGGTTTAGGGGGGTTTTGGGTTTAGTGTTTGGGCTTAGGGTTTAGGGTTTAGTGATTGGGTTTAGGGTTTAGGGCTTCCACGTCTTAGGGTTTGGAAAGATTGAGTGGCCTTGGGTGCAAGTTTGCTGCAGGCCTTGGCTGAGTCTAGTTGAATAGCTCAATAGCGCTGCATGCTTGTCCTACATAGCCATCATGCAACCTTAAACAGTCAGAGCAATGCAGTAATAGTGATCGGACAGTAGTTGCTGATATATGTTGTTCTTCTTCTGATGATTACGATTTCATATCAACAGTTCAAGAGCCACCATAAGCCGCAGTATGTGGTCCTCAACGACGAAGCCTAGCCTCACAGAAACTTTTCCCTCTGCGAGAGCTGGCAAGCACCGAAAATTACTTGAAGGGTCAGGCGGGCTACAAATACCCTAAGCGGGCTTACCTTGGCTTTTAGCCTGTTTGCTGACCTAGACCTTACATCGTAAACCCTAAATAAACCAACCCGGAACTTCAACCCGAAACCCTAAACTCGAAAGCTCCGCCACAATATGTGACTTCCTACCGAGCTTAACTGTTAGGAGGAACAGGTGCTCGACCCTAAGGCTCAAAATAGCCCAAAAGCCTTAAAATATGAGTCCTTAGCGCCTTAGGGTAACAGAAGCTCCGGTGATGCCTTCTGCGTCAGAGGCCGCAGCTCCGTTCGGAGCCCTCGCAGTCGCCGCCACCACGCAGCGAAAGCCACTGGGCGTCCTAAACCCTACCCATAGGCCCCTAAGTAGTTCCTTGTGGTGTATAATTAGAATCCTAGAAGGTAATCCCAAAAAGGAACTACTTAGGAGCCTATGGGCAGACCCTACGAGAATCTTCGGGCAGGATGTTAATCTTGGGGTTGGAATCGTTGGTATAAAATGTATTCCCTTCTAGTCCTTATACATAGTTATATTCAGTAAATTTCCCCCCCAGAGGTTATTCTGATCACTATGACCCCTTTACTACATCACATGTCTTCACAGATAAACTGTTACCACTACATCCTTTTATGCAGCCCGGAACAGGAAAAAAACACTGCGCACACGAGTAGTAATGCTCACAAGCTATCATCATCATCGTCACCACCATCATCATCATGGGTTTAGGGTTTAGGGTTTAGGGTTTAGGGATCATCATCATCATCATCAGCAGCATCTCCAACATGGTGAGATTGTTCTCAGACCTCTCCGACCTGATGCCACTCACCTTCTCGCCGGAGGCTCCTAAGTCCCTACCCGACCACCCTGGACCCGAAACCCTGAAGACTCCATGCTTGGAGACTTTGAGCCTCGTTTCCCTACCCAAAAATTTCTTAAACCCTAAAGCGCTAAGACCCTAAAGCCCTGAACCCTTAAACCCTAAGCCCTACAATCCTAACACCCTAACACCCTAAAGCCCCAAATTAAGCCCTACCCTAAACCCTGAAGCCCTACAAACCCTCCTAAGCCAGGGACTAGTTCCAGCACCCCATGAGAGGCTCCAGGCTTGCAAGCTCGCACGTCATTTATCTTTCGAGTTAAGGATGGTTTGGGGTTTAGGGTTTTAGGATGGTTTAGGGTTTAGGGTTTCGGGTGGGTTTTTGTTGCCGTAGCTTGTGCTCATCGAGCCATCGACTTTGGTCGTAGCCCTCAGCACTGAAACCTGAACAATAGACCCTAAACGCTGAACCCCCAAACTCTAAACCCTAAGCCACACTCTGTCCTGTTTGCTTTTCGACTTCCACACATTCCCGGCCTCGGGAGTCGTTGTGAGGCTCGATGCCACAACGAACCAGTAGCAGTCTTAAGGCTAACCCGAGCACAGACGATCCAAGCACCCAAAGTAACAGTGTGCTAAGAGGACTTGGTCTCTAGTGTCTAAAGCTTAAAGCCATAAACCACCAAGGCCTAAGCCAATCAATCGTCACACCATCGACCATCGAGGCAGAATCCTTCTGCCTCCCATCTCCTGAGCGGATTGCGCCCTGACTCCGGCTGCGGATCTCGGCGTTCAAAGGGCGTTAGATTCGAGTCTGCTCAAGCGTTCCTCTAAGGTGTTGGAAACTAAGGGTTCTATGAGGGTATGACAACAGACAGCGATGTACGAAGTACACTGTCACTGTAGTTATCCCTCCCCCAACGAGGTACCTTTGCATTGTGGCGACATGGTGGGCGGCCCGTGGGTTGGCATATTTCACGGCTTCAATATTCAGCGTCTCAGACCGGCGCTTTGATGTTGAGGCCGCCGGTAGGATGCCTTTTAGCTCCAGCGGCTTTCGCCAAGGATGTTTAGCGGCTTCACGGGCTTTGTAAAACCTGGATGTGCAACATCGGCTCGTCAGGTGGTGCTCGAGGCCTATACATCCCAGGGTTCATGGTTTAGGGTTTTAGGTCGAGGTTTCGGCTTTGTTTTGGCGAAGATTTCAGGTTGGGTTCTTGGCTAGTCATACATGAATGTTCGACGAGTCGTTTTATGAGCATCTTTAGACTAAAGATGGTGTAGCCGTAAACCCTAAACCCTAAAGCCTGAACCCTAGGACTACAGCTCACCGTTTAACCTAGCCATGATTCCTTCCAGTCCCCAGTCAACCAATTATCGAAAACCTTTCTTCCGACCATATTCTGATCCTTGAATTAATTTAGGAAGTTCAGGATGTCAGTTGCTGGGTTTGGGGTGTAGGGCTATAGGGTTTAGGGTTGTTTGGGGTTTAGGGCTTTCGGGGTTATAGGCTTTAGGCCCATGGATCGAGGTCTGTTGATTTCTGACAAGGAGAGCCCCAGCCAGTGGCAACGGCTACGTCTCACGAGTTTCACCTCCCAGGTTTCATCCAACCCGGCGCTGGTAATCTCAGCCAGGAATTATTTTATGCTCTAGACTTTGCAGGGGCCCCGCAATCCGCCCTGCAGCAGCAAGCTCCAGAAACCCAGTAGAATGTAGATCCTAGCTTTTGTGGACCCTCCCCTAGACCCTGAAGCTTCACCCCCCTGACACCCCCTAAACCCTAAACCCCTAAACCCTAAACCCCAAACCCCAAAACCCTCACCCTGAAACCCCCTAAACCCTAAACCCCAAAACCCTGAATCCTGAAACCCCCTGAAACCGTTTGAATAAGTTGTTCCTGGAGCCGGAAATCCTCTGCAGCCGACGGTAACAGCAGTCTCTACAGGTGGGTTTAGGGTTTAGAGGTTTAGGGTTTAGGGGTTTAGGGTTTAGGGTTGAAGGAGCTTTGGGCTTGAGGTTTTGAAGTTGAGGTCTTCAGTCAGGGCTTCCGAGGTAGGGTCTGCGAATGCCCCTAAACCCTAAGCCCTAAACCCCAAAACCCTAAACCCCAAACCGTCACTGCGAATGCCTGGTGTATAGTGGTTCAGGGTTTAGGGTTAGGGGCCAAGGATCCTCAAGGGATGGGGCCTTAGGGTTCAAGGTTCGGGATTCCCTATACCCTAAATCCTTTCGGCTTCGGGATGTAGGGTTTAGGCTACGTACGGGATTCCCGTACAAACCCGACATTGGCGGTTCGAGTGGTACCGCGGCTTGTCGTTATCATTATCACGAGGCAGCTCACGTAATGAGTAATGCATATTACCATTTATTTCCTCAGGCCCTTCTATCAGGCGACCCAAGGCTTCATACAAGGCTCGGGGCTTCAAGTTCGGCAGGAAGCATACCTAAAAGAAATGCATGTGTATGTCAGTAGACTTAATATGGTTGATGCTATAAATCCTGCATTACCCATAATACGGAATATACCATAATTCCCATGGTTTAAGGTCCTTAAACTATATATTGCAGGACTTCTATATCATCCACACAGTATGACCCCTTTATAAACCCTGAACCCCACGATCTGATTGCGGGATCGCGTGCTGTCATCGACGTTTATTTAGCTCCGAGTGGTCCAAGGTGGGACGCATCCGGTCATTTTACATTAGGGACCCAAAAAGGACCTAAGCATAAGCATTTTATAGGGATATAACTTATTGGGCTTCATTATACGGTGTTTATATGGGATATCCCTATCCTAACTGTTGCTTATGTGCTTTTTGGGGGGGGGGGGGCCCTATGACTACATCTCGTAAACGCAGAGGCCCGGGGGAACCCTACTTTAGAGAACTACCCATATGAAAGTATAAGACTGCAAAACAAAACATAGAACTCTGTGTGTGTATATATATATATTTATTTATTTGTTTATTTATTTATTTATATACACGCATCTATATGCATATGTTGATTTAAAGTAGAAGTCGCATAAACCATAATTATTCAAACTCGAGGCGTTTACTGGATTAGGGCTTCAATCAACTGTTGGCTTTAAGGTGTGCGATTCAACAACCTTTGCATGTGACACATCCTCGCTGACGTGTTGACGTATACTGGACTGTCTGGCCACTCGGAATGGAGACGTGATTTGCCTTTCGGCCATCGCAACACGCGAGGTTTCGAAAACGTGCGCTTGCTCACGCAAATATCACCAGGGCTTGAGGAATGATGAGGGTGTCTCACTTGGGGTTTCATGTGGGCCATCAAAAAACAGAAAGTTAGTGCCCACCATGAGAGTTTCCGAAGCTGGAGAATCCCTGCTCGAGACGAGACTACATGTCGCCGCAAAGACGAAGATACTTCTCGCTCTAACCCTAAGGGTCCATGTACCCAAATAGTATATACTTTGGCCTTAAAGTAGTCCCTAGATAGGTACTTTGGGGCCAAAGTATATGCCATTTGGGTACATGGACCCTTAGGGCGAGTTGACAGGGTGGCAAGCCCGAGCTTCCACACGTGAGTTTTTGCTCAATACCAAGCCGTCCACCTCATCGGCATCACACCACCAGCAAGGACATCGCACAACACGGATGCAACACAACCGACAAGACTCGCCTCCGTTGCAAGTTATAAGGGCCGCACGGTTTAAGGAAACCCTGGAAACCGTCCCTTAATTGTCCTTGAACCCTACAGCCTCAACCCTAAACCCTAAGCCTTAAAACGTCCATTGCCGTGCATAGCTGCAAGTAAACCTCCTCGAAATTCAGCTGGAGCCGTTCGCTGCAAGCCACTGAACGGTTTAGGATTTATGGGTTAGGGTTTAGGGTTTAGCGTTTAGGGTTTAGGGTTTATGGGTGCATGGCTTAGGGCATTCAACCTTGCCAAGGGTGACAAGACCCACTGCACGCTGCCGCCTGCAGCAATTGTGGCTTGTTGACTTCTGAAAATTTGAAAGTTTCCGCTTCTCAAAGCGGGGCAAATGCGCCGGCTTTTGCTGTCACTAGGCTGGGCAGTAGTACATATTGCTTCCGTTGTGCGATTACCGCACAGACCTTAGCACCAAACATTAAAACAAAAACCCTAAACTCTGAATCCCGTAACTAATCCTGCAGGCCTGAAGCCCTACAAACCTAACTAACCTAAAGCCCTAAAGCTCTAGAAACCCCAGCCCCAGGACCCTACAAATCCGAAAACCCCGTACGACGCTAAGCCCAAGCGCCCTGACGCCTTAAAGCCAGTTGAAACCCCAAGACCACAGGCCCATCTTTTGGGGTTAAGGGGCCGAAGGCCCCAAAGCCGAAGCTCTAGTGGTTAGCTGCCCAAGCCTACCCTTTTTGCATTGTCCCTTTACTGTAAAGGTTCGTTTTTTGGGCCTATAAATGAGAAACTACAAAACACTAGGGTTTAAACCCACCTTTTTGTGTGTTGTCCCTATAAAGTCTAGATTGTAATGCAGTAGGGTCAATGAACAAGAAAGATCACTACAGTAGGATTTATAAAAATCAATTTTTCTGCTGTCTTGGACCAAATACGATACTACGACACAGTAGGTTATGGAAGTTTAGGGTTCTGGGGAGCTGAGGTCATGGCTCGTGGTGCTCCTGGGCTTCTTGGGCCGGGGGTGCCTAGCACAGCGAAAGGCGGGGGAAGTTTTTCTGGCTTTGGTTTGGGAGGGTTGCATGTATATGATGTATGTTAGGCGATAGGGGTCCGGTTAATTGAGGGTATCATACCTTTCAGGATTTTACGCATTCAGCTCCCTTCTTAGTATTTCCTGAAACTCCCGCATGAGCGCACCGCGCATGCCGTGGCCGATTGCCACTGAAAGAAGAGCTACGGTTACCCTAAACCCTATAAACCCTATATGCCCCAAAACCCTAAACCGTGTGAGGCTTGAGGCTTGTGCACTAAGCCGAAGATCCATTGCCAGAAACCGAGACCCCAAACCTAGAGCTTCGACCGAAATCCCTCACAGCAACATGCTGTTGATGATAAGAACCCTGCATTACCGTAAGCACCCTAAGCTATGGGAACTATGGTATACTCCTTACTATGGGTAATGCAGGATTCATATCATCAACCATACTTACAACGCCGAGATCTGGGCCGGTTAGGTTTTTCACAACTCGAATCCTGAGCCCCCGACAGCCTCATGAAGCCAAGAGTTCTGTGTTGAAAGATGTTGAGTTGCTGAGATTATGGTTTAGGGATTTAGGGTTTAGGGGTGTAGGGTTTTAGGGGTTTAGGGGTGTAGGGTTCAGAGCTTATAGGGCTTAGCTTGGGGGTCAATGATCCGGGAGTGCAGGTCAAATGCGCTCCGAACTGCCGCAGCTGCGTCAAGACCGGCACATGTGATCCATGGCCTGTTCAGAGCCATCCTCCCCAGCGTTCATCTAATATAGGGGCCTTAATAATTAGAATAAGGTTTGGGATATATTATACTATACTATAATGATAATAACCCCCAAACCCCTATTCTAATTATTAAGGCCCTACATTACCATCCCCCTTGCTTGCAAGGTCCTGTAGGTCCCTAAACCCTAAACCCTAAACTGTGATCCTGCAAACCCCCCGCAACTCGTCCTCTTGTCCCAACCTCGGCATTGGGGTGCTCGCAGAGAAGTCGATGTGTACCATATTAGTATGTTATCTAGTACATAACCGGTAGTATGTAGTATGCAGCCGTTAAGATTGAATACACAATGTATTGAAAGACCATAGGACATCTAGAATACATTTTAGTGCACACACACTACATACAATACGGCTGTATACAGAGCATGTAGTACATCATATATGATATGTAATAAGAAGTATATTATGAAGCTGCGAGCCAAAACGGCCTCCCAAAACCCAAACACTCAAAATTCTCGACCTGTGTGACTACCGGCTTGATCTTGTGGAAAGCAGGAGCCATGAAGTGAAGCGCAGCATAGGCTCAAGGTGTACCTTCCGAGGGTGAGGGAGCTCAGAGTTGAAATTTGGCCAAGTCTGAGGGAGGTTGTGAAGGTCCCAGAGACTCCATTATCCCTTAATTAAGGCATGAACCTTAACTTACAATAGGAACCCTAAAAGGATTTAAGGTATATTCCTTAATTAAGGGATATTGGAGTCTCTGGGGTCATGGGAGTTGGGAACCACGCTGGTAGTGCTCCAGGCCAGAGCCTCTATGTGCACATACGGCTGATGGATCACATTGAGCATCTTGAACTATATGGAAACTATCAGGAAGTATGGTGAGTGCGCACTACCTCTTATGGAATTGAATAGGCAGCATCTCGCCCTTCGGAAGTATGAGCCCATCATCGCACCTTCTCCCGCCAAGGAAGTGTGCATTGCCGGCTACACCGTGAAGCCGGAGGACCGGACGTGCGGAGAGTGCGCTAAGAATTGCCAAGACTGCTCGGCCAGCGGCCACCCGGACTATGGAGCAGGGCTGTTGCCTTTGGGTGGTCCTAAAGCCCAACGTATAGAAGCCTAGATAGCTGCCAATATTATCCTCAAACGTTCCTTTGTAATTATGATTCCACTATAGTACGTCCCAAGCCTTTGTCCCAATTACTAGTATTAAGGCCGTGAAAGTTGCAGCAAAAGTGCGCAGCCTGTGCACCCCATCATGGTAATTGAAATTATATCCCTAGTGCCTGACCCTAAAACCCCATTACAGCCAAGGCCTAAGCCCTAAAGCCCTAAACCCTACAACCCTAAAACCCTCAACCCTAAACCCTAAACCCCTAAACCCCTACACCCTACACCCCAACCCGTGAGGTGAGTGCACATGTCCTTTAAAAAAAACCCAACCCCAAACCGGCAAAGCTGCTCTGAGGCTGAGGATCTTAGAGGGTTTTGGGCGGCTTGGGACATTGAGCTTAGGGTTTAGCGGTTCAGGGGTTTAGGGTTTAGGGTCAGGGGTTTAGAGGTTTAGGTTTTAGGGGTTTATAGGTTTAGGGATTTAGAGGTTTGGGGTTTGTGGGATTAGGGGTTTAGGGGTTTACAGTTAGCTTGCAGGCTGCCAATGTGCTGAAGTACCAGGGTGTGATTTTTGGTGTCCGAATAGAGATACCCTCAGTGTTCGTCTAAAATCATGTGAAGGGGGCCCAAAAAATTAGTCGAATAAATTTTAGGGTTTATATGGTTTAGGGCTTAGGGGTTTCGGGTTTAGGGTGCGTGACGGACAGACTGACAGAGCTCCCCAGGTGCCCCGGCCAGAAGTTGGGCGATAGTTTGGACACCTGCTCAAACGCGTCCTACGTACCTAAATGGGGGTTACTTACCGGAAACAGAACAGTAATTAATTCCTACTCTTCGACTCCTACTTTCTACTATGTCATGTAGGTGCTCACGACCCTGTGGGCTGGTTTTGGGCAAGGCCACGAGCGCAACTCCAGGTCACAGCTAAGGCGTCAACCCGAAAGCCCAAGTTAAACCCCGGAGCCAACCCAACATCCTAAACCCCAAAACTAGCCCCAAGCTCCAGACATTAACAGCAACCCAAGGCCCTAAAGCCTAAAACCAAACCAAAACACACAGCCCTATCTATCGATCTATCTATCTACCTACCTCTCTATCTGTCTGTCAATCTATGTATGTATGTACATGTATGTGTGTGTGTGTATATATATATATGTATCAGCCTAGACCCTAAGCCTTAAAGGCCTAAAACCCTAACCCTAAACCCTATAAGCCCCAAAATCTTAAACCATGTGGCACAAGAAAGAGGTACAGACCTGGACGACCAACTCAAGGGGTCTGAAGAACAAAAAGCCTGTGGATGGTTCGGAAGAGGGAGCGATCGATGGTCCTAGGGTTTAGGGTCTAGGGAATCGATGGTCAGTGACAGGAAGTACTGAGGTGAAGGTGGAACCGACAACCTGCCTAATCAGTTTCTCGGAAAGTATTTGCAGCCGGAAAGACTAAGCCACCAAAAACAAACTAAACCGCCTGCAGCTCCCTAGTTTTTCGATACGATACTACACTATGCTATACTGTAGTATAAATTGGTACATGTAACATAGTATAATAGAGCATCATCCAATATAGCATGTTATTGCATAATGTCATCATGTATAATATGACACAATATACTGTAATATTAATTTTCCAGCCAAGGGCCCGGCAGTTGCAACGTCTGCAACATCGGCTACACATGGTGGAAAGGAAATGTGCTGTCGTCAGCGCGATGTCACCAAGCCTTGTTTAGGTTTAGGCGAGAAAGGGGCTTGTTAAGAATAGGAGTACACCGGGGTTTAGATCCTTGTTAGGAACCTTGTTAGGAAGGTTCAGGGTTTTGGAGTATACTACCTGGATGCCCCAACTACTTTCCACGCGGCAGGACGAAAGTTCGTCGTACTCTCGCGTGATCGTCTTGCACACCCCTTTCCCCCTTAGACTCTTCTACCACAGGTCTCCGTCCGGAACATATAATAAATTTCCATAGTTATAAGACGGTGGATTAATTTTCTCCGCTAGCCGCTAGCCATGCCAGGCAAAATGTGCTTTTTCGGTACGACGTGCCCTCCGCATGATCCCGTAAAGCGATGTATAATTATAGCTCAACGATCCTCTGTTAAGGACCATGCTGTCTTCATTAAATTTGGCAGGGTCCTGGAACCAGTGTACCTGAAATCGTGGTCCTGATAATTTATTAGCAGGGCTACGAGTTCGAGGTGTGGGTCATTGGGCTGTCGGATGTTGAGGAATTGATGCTCAGCGTGTGTGTCGCGGAACCTTTGTCCCTCATGACGGTTTAGACTTGACGGCTCGGGAGACTTAGTAAGCAGGTAATGGGTAGACTTATTAGCAGCCTAAACCTTGAGCCCTAAACCCTAAACCCTAAATACATAGGGATCCTAATTAGGGGTTATGATACTCAGAGGCTTCAGGGTTCCTGTTACCAGCCCGAAGAGTTGCATCTTCTCCTCCTTTAGGGTTTAGGGTTTCATTAGGGTGTAGGGTTTAATTGGTTTAATTTGGATACGGCGAAAATATTGCCGCTCGGGTTTTATTATCGGGAATGTGTGTGTGTGTATATATATATGTGTGTATAGGTATGTATATAAATATGTATGTATATATGTATATATATATATATGTGTATGTATGCACACACTGCAACTTTCCTCCAAACCTTGTTCTAGTTTTTAATAACTACATATTGTGGATACAATGACTTTTTGCAGGCTTCGGTGCGAAGTCGGAGCCCTGAAGTTGGGTTTAGGGTTCAAGGTTTTGTTGGGTTTGGGGTTTCGGTCTTGAGGCTAAGTCACAACCCGACATGCCCTTGGGCCGTTTCAGCTTGCCGGTATCGTCAAGGTGGAAAAACGGCTACGGCTCACCTTACTGGGCCTTCTTGGGGGCAACCTTCATCTGCTCTGTCGGCAAAACCTTTTGGAAGGAAAGATGTCAACATGAGAACCTCATGTGAAATCAACAAGAACCAAAGGGGGGGCTCAGGATTTTGTCAGCCCTCGACTCCAAACCCTAAACTTGGCCCTGAGCCCTAAGCCATAAACCCTCAGTTGGTTGAAGGGCCTCGTGCCAAGGCCCAGGGTCTGTTCCAGTGCTTTGGGTGTGCGCTTCGTGGATGGCCTGTGGACATGGGTGTAGGGTTTGGGGTTTTGGAGTTATGGGGAACCCTAAACCCGAACAGTGATGTTGTCGTGATGCATGAAGTTTTTGGGGCAAGTAACCTACACCCCTCACTAGCAAGGCACCTAAGCCCTGAAGCCCTAACCACTATAAGCCCTAACCCGAACCCCGAAACAAGTCCGAAAAAGCCAAGGTGAGCCTTGCGCAGCAAACTGTCGGAGGTGTGACACTGCGGGATATGGATTGTGCGATATTTGCCAGGACGGCTGCCCGTTTGCAGCCAGTTGGGTTTAATGAACAGGGTTCTGCAAAGTTGCAAAAAAGTAGCAGGCCCGGGCCAATACTCCATACAATTGCAACGGCAACACCTCAAATTAAATCCTTTACATACTGCCAACATAGAGCACTTGTCAAGGATGATTTTAGGGGTAAAGGGTGTGAACTTGAGGAAAGCCTCGACGAACAGCCTTACATCCTAAGACTCATCAGCCCTAAACCCTAAACCCTGATGAGAAAAGGAGCCCTGAGTGAAGCCGAGTGTGGAGCTGTGTCCCGAACCCCGTAGGCTCGCGCCCATAACAGGGAAAGCCTGTGCCCCCAGTTTAGGGTTTAGGGGGTTTGTGGGGTTTAGGGGGTTTAGGGTTTCAGGGTTTAGGGTTTAGGGTTTTTCGGGTTTAGGGTTTAGGGTTTATGAACCCTGAGGCCCAAACTCAAACGGGTTGTCGTCTTGAGGCAAGTTTTGTGGAAGAGCAATTTAGAAGCCGCAACCATTAGCAAGACTACTCCTTAATTAGGACCTTGAGGTTGCTGATAAGCACTCCACTATAGGGCACCTAGAGCCCTATTCGCCTCTTTCGGTGGGGTGAACGATCGATTCGAGGGGGCGTCAGAGTTAAATCGAAGGAGTTTTGGGGTTCCGGCTATTCCTGCTACACGATGATAGATGGTGATTCAACCAACCACCGTTATTCTGATGATTTTCAAATTTTATGATGGTGACGTCGGATCACTTCCCCAAATCTTATCAGTATAGCAGCAAGACGATAAGATCGGTTCGCAACCTCAGGGAAGTTCTGTAGACGGACATCCCGGGCCAAAGTCCAACAGCGGAGCCCCCGAAGCAATATGGGTAGTTCCCTAAAGTAGGGTCCCTGATGGGGTCCTTTTTGCAAGGGTGCCGTACTGTATTGGGGACCTACATAGGGACCCAAATTTAGAGAACTACCCCTCTGGGGTTTGATCGGAGGCTTAGGATTCGGGGCTTAAGGTCCAACCTTGGCCTAACCGTCGCAATCTTCAACGAGATCCCAAAACCCGTAGGCCTTTGGAATAGGGTTTAGGGTTAGATTTTGATCGGTATTAAATACCCAGCTACAATCCATACAATATAGTCCTATAAGATTAACTCTACACCCCTAAACCCAGAACCTACCCCCAAACCCTAAACCCAAAAAGAAGAACAACAACCTAAGTAGTTGTTTGACAGTCAGGCTATGAATTGACGAAAGATGGCAAAAAGCTCTGCAAGAGCCCCGGCGAGATCTAGGGTTTAGGGTTTAGGGTGGTTTAGGGCTTTAGGGCTTTAGAGCTTTTGGGTGAAGGGTTTAGGGTTCGAAACTGTAGGGGATCCTGTGTTGGTGATCCTTGCTGTAGTCTCATGATCCTGAATCCCAAACCTTATCCTAAGGGTCCAAGTACCTAATAATCATATACTCTTCTGAACACTAACCTACAAAACTACTATCCCTAACCCGAGTATGTGATTATTAGGTCCTCTAGGGTCCATGTACCCAAATAGTGTATACTCTGGCCTTAAAGTAGTCCCTATAGAGGTACCTTGGGGCCAAAGTATATGCTATTTGGGTACATGGACCCTTAGGGCTGTCGACCCCAAGACTCAAATCGTAAGCCCTAAACCTGCCTGGAGGCTCTGAGGATTGTTGTCTTTACGGTTGATGATACAAATCCTGCAAAACCCATAGTAAAGGAATATACCATGGTTTCCATTGTTTAGGGCCCTTACAGGTAGTGCAGGATTTAGATCATCAACACTACTAATGAAAAAGTACCCTAGTCGGAGTAGCACGGCACAGAACCTACTTACTTGCTAGGTCCCCGAATCCTTCTGGCCCTTGGAAGTTCGACGTTCATGTCCTTTTTAGGGTTTATAGGGTTTAGGGGTTTATTAGGGTTTAGGGGTTTAGGGTTTAGGGCAAGTCGTTTCACTGGTAGTCTCGTATGGCCCCTGAGGTCTCAGATCGCATTTCTTTAGACGTTGTCAGTGTTTCACGCTCAGTGACGGGTCCACGCAATGCTTGCGCACGTTCACAGCAGACATCTGCACAAACACGTGGTTGTTTGTTGGTTTGGTTGGTTGCTTTCTTGCTTGTTTGTTTGTTTGCTCGTTCGTTTGCATGATTCTTGTTTAATCCTGCCCTCAACCCTAAACCCTAAACCGTCCCAAGCAGAAGCAATGATGCTAGACTTCAACACCAAGCTTTATTACGGAACCCAAAACCGTCTTGAGTTCACGGCACTGTATTTAGATTGCGCCAACCCTATAAACCCTGTAGGCCCTAAGCCCTGAACCCTCAACCCTAAGCCCTATTCCTAAATCCAAAATCCAAAACCCTAAACCCTACATAAGCCCGAAGACTTGAGCCCCTCCCGTCATCATTACAGCATGGAAGGATAAGACTTAGCGCTGTGTAAACTTCAATCGTCACTAAAGAGGGGTTTAGGGTTTAGGGGTTTAGCATTTCAGGGCTTTAGCAATAAAGCAACCCTGCATCTTCAGCACTCTGAAGAAGATTAAACCTCAATATAGGTGCGTGAGTACTTGCCACAGTATTCCGTAGGGTTCTTTGTTACTAGTATACTAAAATATCATCTAAGACCCTCTTCTATCATCAGGGCCCTTGTATTGCGTTAGTTTTGGAGTGGCAGCCCAAGGACGTGCTCGGAGCACTGTCAGGGCTGCCAGACAGCGGGCGGTGGTCTTTGCGATGTGACTGGGCCTTCATTTTTAACCATCGGGTGCAGAAGGGCATGGAGTTTTTTCGGAATGGGAGCGATTCTGGCTTCATCTCTGAAGGTTTAGGGTTTGAGTTTTGGAGTTTTGCCCCCGGAGTCTTGGCAAGGGTTGGGGTTACCTTGTGGTTGGGACTGGGCGATGCTTGCTTGTTGTAGAGCCTAGAGTCTACAGGATCCTTGAAACAAGGATCCCCAACAAGGCACCGCTACATTTCAGGAAGCACCCGTGATGGGGTACTAGATGTGTTCATTGCATGTCGTATTGCCCGGATGGAGGACCCTTGGCTAAGAGCAGAGGCGCTGTTTAATCATAACCCACAGCATCTTCAGGTCCTACGAATATGCTATTGCAGATGCGAATGTTTTGGCCTGGTCACCTTTGTTGTATGCCTCCGTACATGGGGGCTAGAAGTTGTAATAGGGGCAGATCGACTTGAATCAAGCACCCTAAACCCTAAACCCAGGCCTTTGGGGAAACCTCCCCTTATTGGGCTTAAGAGGATCTGACTTACGAGTATTTTCCTGCAGAACCATCGATCCCCACCGCCCCGCAATGGCTCAGCCCATGGAGGTCTTGATAGCTCGTAGTTCTGTTCCGTTACAGCCGTAGCATCGCGTACCTCAGAACTCTTACTCTTTAGATCCTTATCACAAGACCCTCTACAGGCAACCTTTATAACTTTATATTAAAGGAAGAGGGTTCTACTTATGATTCATAAAGCCCCAACGCTCGGCCCGAACATCTTCTTTCGTAATGCCAGGGGTTCTGGATTTAGTTTTCGGCTGTGTTCAGACTTTCGGGTTCCGGGTTTAGGATGCAGGGTTTTAACCCCTCGACCCCAAACCCTAAACCCTAAGCCGAGACCCTAAACCCTAAACCCTGAACCAAGACCCTAAACCCTAAGCCGAGACCCTAAACCCTAAGCTTTAGGGCTTTGGAGTTAGAGTGTTGGGTTGACCGTTGAGGGTTTTTTTTTGGGTCTGGAGTCCAGGGTTCAGGATTTACCCTATAAGCCTCCAAATGGGGGTTTCCGAAAGCAGGGGACCCTGATATAGTACCCTAAATAGTAGGATCCTTATTATAAGGACCCCAAAATAAGGTACCAGCCCCAAAAAGCCTTCTGCAGCATTGTCTTGGAGGCCCAAAGCCTCAAAAATGTGAGTCCTCAGAGCCTTCGGGTTTGGGTTTATGGGTTCACCTAAACACCCCGGAAAAAGTAGGTAAAATAATGGCCCAACACTTATCCGAAGCCATTCTTCTACCATACTCTTGGGGTCCAGGCAGGGGTTCAGGGGGTTTTGTATTGCCTGGAAGGCCAGATCCACAGACTCCGATATTCCTCAATGAAGGAGAATACCTTAAATCTTATTAGGGTTCCTACTATAATTCAGTTGAATTATAGTAGGAACCCTAATTAAGGTATATTCCTTAGTTAAGGGATGATGGAGTCTCTGGGGACCCACCCTGAACTGCAAGTCTCCCACACCAGCTCTCAGGTTTGCGAGAAAGGCTACGCGTTGACGACGGCAAACATCTGTGGCGACCCTCGTCTTCCACCCTAAACCCTAAACTCTAAGCCCTAAACCCTACACCCTATAAACCCTAAATCCTGAACCCTTAGCTTCTCTTACGACCAGCCTTGTAACTTTTCTTGCAAACCCTCGAACCCTCATGTAGTGTATTAGATCTTGTTAAATTATATTATATTATACTATATTATACTATGTTATACGATCTTCTATTCTATTCTATTCTATTGTGCTGTCTTTACTTTATTCTATTCCATTCTATTTCATGCTATTCTGTTAAATTATATTATGGTATGTTTTATTTTATGTTCTACGTCCAACTATATTTTTGTATATTTCGCTCTTGAGTCCCCAGTTTGATGAAGAAAGGCATGCGCAGCCAATTGCAAGCAGTGTGCACGAGCGGGTCCCGGGCGTGGCTGGGCTTGCACTTAGCATAGGGTCCAGTAGGGCTAATTAGGGTTGAGAGTTTTGGGTTTATAGGGTACCTAAACCCTAAACCTTAAACCGTCATCTAGGGGTCTAGCACGACCTTGCATACCTAATCGATGGGAACTAGATGGTACTACATTGTACTTGGGTCATGCAGAATTTTGTCCATCAATCCTACCATACGTCCGAAAAATTCAGTGTCCCTCAGACTTAAGGCTGCGATCTCTGCAACGACGGCTTCGATCTAGCAGCAGACAAGCGACTCGTTGTGCATGGGCCTTTTTTTCAATAGTCAGAACAGTGTACAGTTTGGGGTTCTAGAATTAGAATAGGGGAGTTGAACACCTTCTACTACCGTTCGAGAGGGTACTATCGGGGGATAATAACTCGTATTGCGAATTTCTCTCAATGCCTACCTATATTGCGAGACGCGACGAGGTCATGTCAATCCTGAGGCCTCAAGCCCGAAGCATCTTCATGGGCCTTAGCTCTATGTTGTACCGTTGGGTTTAAGGTTTAGGGTTGCGATCCTGTAATATAGGAATTTCGAAGCTGACTTATAACAGCGGTATGCGCTGGTTCGGCCTCTGGCCTAGCAAACCAGCGAGGTCACCGACCTTAATGAAAACCCACATGAGCCCCGCGAAACATCGCATTATTCATCGACATTACCGTATAAACCCACGGCACCTGCATTTTAGGTGGTCCATAGTCTTAGTCTAAGTTTTTTTTTTCTCACTCTCCTGCACAAGACAGAAGTCTTGGCCGTTGGCTCATTTTTGGTTCGGGAAATCCCTTTGTTTTGGTGACACAAATCCTGTCTCCACAGACAGCAGCAAGCAGCACCATTAATGCTTAGACTTCGTGGACACCAGCAAAAGTCCCACGTCTTCCTTCCAACTATGGATTCTGCAACCCACCCAAGCAAGACAAACGGGTGCCCTTATCCTGAAAAGCTTTATGGCGAAACGTGCGTGTTCAGCCGGGATAAATTGGACGCGAGTGCGGTAAATGCGTTTGGTGGCTGTGGGCGAAGCAAGCCTGAGGTATCGGGTCCTCAATAGTTTGAAGCAGACTAATGACTAGGGTGTTGAGGTATAACATGGGACTACCGTCACCAGTGGATACTGTTTCGAATTACTCAGAGCTATACAGTACAAACGTGGCCCCAGCAAATTCGATACTAGAAGGACATGCAACACAGCAGGCTATGGTAGTCCAAGGTGTGGTCTTGACGGTAGTCTAGGAATCAAATTGAGATGATGGATAATTTCCTTTGGATGCTGTGGAAATCGCCACCCAGTATTGGACCTGAGGAGGAAGAACTTTGACTAGCCTGCCCTTACCTGGCATATCCTTTAACACACTTCTCAACGCTACAAGCCATACAAGCCCCAAGAAGGTTAGTCATAACCCCATTAACTTGTATGGAATCCTATGAAACCCTAAATCAGGGCAAAAGGAATGTCGCCACTGTTTTGGGGTGTCGGCAGAAAGACATAAGGAGAACGAATCTTCGTGGAAGGGTTTGGAGGTTCGAGAACCCTCTCTTGCCTTCGCAAACCTTCTTGGGGTTCGCAAGCCCTCGCGGCACGAGGCGTTTCGGCTTGGCAAGGGACCTGCAAATTAGCTGTGCCTTCGCAAACCTTGGCCGATCATTGTAGGGCTGCAAACCTTCGAATTTCTTTTCCGCCGGCTGTATCCGTTTAGCTTCACTAAACTCTGAACCTTAGCCACTTCCTGCAGGACCTGTCCAACATGCGCGAAGAATTGTCAAACCTGCATACATGCCGGGGAAGGCAGATGTGACATCTGTATGCCCGGCTGCTTCGTTGCAAATCGCAAATTGTTCTGGACGGCTCTTGGGGATTGTTGTGTTTCGGGTTTCTTGTTCTGTGCGTGTGTGTATATATATATACATACATACATACATACATACATGCATACATACATACATACATACATACATACATACATACATACATACATACATATATTCTGTATGTATATATATATGTGGGTATATATTGTTTATCTATTTTTACATCTATATTCACAATTGTCTGTGGACACACACATCTGTATATATATATATATTGATATGCATGTGCACACACACACACAAACACACGTGCACACACGCGCACACACACACACGCACACACACACATATATATATATAATATGTATGTATGTATGTATGTATGTATGTATGTATGTATGTATGTATGAATACACGTTATATTGGTGAGAAGGTGTGTCTATGTCTGTCTGTCTGCCGAACATATTTCAAACGCTTCCCATGGCCAACATAGGACAGGAAACGACCATTGAGCAACCCTAAGACCTGAACCCACTGAACCCTGTACGAAAAACGAAGGTTGTAGCCTATTCACGGTCGTTGATCTTTCTGGGTGTTCCGAACCCTTAACTCCCAGCCCCATAGTCTGAACCCATCAAACACTTTCCTAAGCCCCTTCTTTGTGTTCCCTTTTGTATCCTTCGAAATTGCTTCGGTCGCTTTTTTTGGCTCCCCAAACACCAGACCGGTTTAGAAAAGGTTCAGGGGTTTGAAACCCCCAAGACCCAAACCGGCTTAGGGTTCCGGGTTTTGAAACCCTAAACCCCTAAACCCTAAGCCGGTCTTGGGCTTAAGGCTTTTAGTTCCTATGCGGCCAGGACTGTTGATAAGGAGTTCTAGCAAGGAAACTGGTTGAAGGGTACCTTCTCCAACTAATTGCTAAAAGACTGTAGAAGTATTTGGTGGGAGTTGTTTTGGCTTGTACAGGGTTTCAAGTGTCTACAGGGCTTTGAACTCGCAGATCCGTTTTTCGTCGAATGCCTCATTTCTACATTCGGGGTTTGTTTCTTATCGGATCCCAGAGTCTTACAAGGGCATGCAGGAGTTCCAACCTAATCCCTAAACCCTTATCCCCAATCCCTAAACCCTAAACCGTACAGGGACCTCAACAAGTAGATAAACAAGAAGGAACCTCTGAATTCTGTGCTGGAACCAGCATCAATGCGACGAGTTCCTTCTTCAAGACCTAACCGGGCCGAAGGAAAGCAGAGCCTCCTGCACCAAAAGGTGTGAATGCTTAAAAGGCCATGAAGTGTTTAAGCACTTACATACAACCACCAAACTAGGCAAAACGATGGCCCAATACCTATAAAGGGCTATTGTTCTACATGCTTTTGGGGTCCAGGTAGGGTTTAGGGTTGTGACGGGGTCTAGGAGTTTAGGACGGTATCTCCAAAATTGTCCATGGCCGCCTCTGTGTCCTTATACACCTTGTAAGCCCTAAGCGGTTTAGGGTTTAGGGTTTAGGGTTTAGGGTTTAGGGTTTTGGTTTAGAGTTTAGGGTTTAGGGTTTATAAGTTTAGAGTATTGGGTTTAGGCTTTAGGCTTTTGGTTTAGGGATTAGTGACTGCTCCACAGGCTACGGTCGCAACCCCGCGATGCTAACGGGCCAATACTGCGAGAAATGCTTCCCGTCCAAGACTTTCAGCTTTTGGGAGGTGGAGCTGAAGGTGTCATCCTCAAACCCTAAACCCTAAACCCTCTTCTGGTGGTTTAGGATTCAGGCTTTGTGGGGAGATCGTTTTTATAGTCTGTGGAAGAGCTTGGAGTCCAGGCTGTTCAGAAAGCTGGCGCTCATTCAGGTTGTTTCGGGTGAGGGGCTCAGGGTTTTAGGGTTTAGGGTTTAAGGTTTAGGGTTTAGGGTTTTTGGGCGAGTTTGCTGGTCACATTGTGTCTGAGCCCTGATGATGCAGCATGTCGTTGTGCTCCCTCGCGTCCCCTGACCACGCACGTAAGCTGAAGCCGGCAATCCATTTGCGCCAGTGTTTCGAAGCCTGTCTTACGGATTTAGTGTTCCAGGATTTACTGTTCACCTGAACCGTTGCACCTGGCCATATCTCAGGTGCGGAAGGTTGCAAATCCTGCACCCAGGCGGGTGCCAAGAAATGCGATACATGCCGCGACGGCTACGCCCTCATCGTCGCGCAGCAGACCTGCAGCTATGACTGAGTCCAGCCAGACCATAACCTTCCTTGTAGGATGCGGACAATGGGTTTAGGGTTTAGGGCCAAAGTTTTGGGTTTAGGGTATGAACCCTGAACTCTTAAAAGGTGATTAGGGACGCTACCTACCTGGGTATACACAAACATCGCCTATACTGGGTGCCGATAGGCTACACCTGGAACCTGGAGTAGCAAAGCTTGTGGCAAAGCACCCTCAAACGTGCTGGTTTCAGGGTTCAGGGTTTAGGGTTGAGGGTTAACCGAGAAGCAACCCCACAACCTGAACCAGCAAACGCCGAGCAATCCCTAGACCACCCAAACTACCGGATAGTGAAGTTCGTCATACAGTGCTGTGCTGCCAGCAACCCGTCCAAAGAGCCGATGCAAGTTGGCAGGAGTGATATGGGCAGTTCTCTAATTTAGGGTCCCCTTTTAGGTCCCCAATATAGTACGGCACACTTATAAAACAGGACCCTAAAAAGGGCCCTAAGTTAGAGAACTACCCATATGGAGGGACACTGAGGGGCTTCTCCACTCAAGAACGAACCCCAAACCCTAACCCTAGCTCGCAGTCCAAGCTATGGCGCCTAAGTTGAGCTCAGCAAAAATCTGCCGGTTCTTTGCAAAACTCCTCCGGTTCCGATATCACCCAGGACCCTCCTTGTACCCTCAAATAGGGGTATATGGTCCCAAATAAGGGGTATTTAGAGTCTAATAAGGGGTATATGGAGGGTCTAGGACTAGAAAACACCACACGCGAGCGCTCAACTTAGAGCCAAAAGAGCTCATCCCTCGAGTCTAAACTTTCCCTGGCGGATCCAAAAGGCCTGCTGTGTTGCAGATTTCCTACACAGGTTTAGGGTTTAGGGTTCAGGTTTTAGGTTTTAGGGTTTAGGGGGTATTTCCTGCACAGTTGATATGGAGTCGCAGCCTGCAATGGTTGGGTTTGGGACTCCATGAAGCGCTTTATCCAAACCGGCTAATGTAGAAGCCAGAATGTTATTCCTTAGTGTTCCCCATCTTATATATATATACATACATACATACATACATACATACATACATACATACATACATACATACACACTACACTCCTAATTACTGAGGCCCCTAAACCAGCTCCTGACGCACCGAGGTGGTAAGTGTGCCGACAATTGCCTCAAATGCGCTTCACCCGGCAAATGCAATCAGGGTCAGTGCAAGGCCGGAGGGTGCTACCTTCACTGCTTTCAGGTTTAGTGTTTACCCTAAACCTGAAATTTCATTTGCAAACTCTGACCTCCAAGTTTTAAGGTTTATGGTTCCCAAATTCATAAGCTCTAAACATAGCTACAGTACTATCCGAAGCCTAAGTACCTAGTTTCTGGGTCCTTGGGACCCTAAGGGGAAAAGTTCGGGAGCTTTCGGGCCTCCCGAAAGGCGAGGGACGAGAGAGCGAAAAGACTTATGAGATGCTGAGGGCCCGAGACCGGCCCTTTATAAGGGGTTTTAGGAAGTTTAGGGCTTGAGGGTTTTAGAGTTTTAGGGTTTTAAGGATTTTAAGGGTTTTAGGGTTCCGGGTTTAGGGCTCGGGGTTGTAGGGTTTAGGGTTTAGGGTCCAGGGCTTGGGGTATAGGGGTTATAGAGGGTTGTCATGGTCATTCCGTAGGGCTGCAGCTACTGAAATAATGCGTTATACCGGAGTACATATAGGCAACTGGAGCACGAGGGAAGCTTATTCTTTGGAGGGTTTAGTTGTTGAGGGGTTGTCATAGAAATTTATGAGACACACCCCTAAACCCTAAACCCACACGCCTTCCGGTTACGGGCCAGATAAGGAGAGCATTCTCTGCAGTAGCATCTGCCCATTTACTACGATGACCTAGGTAGAGAGCTCTTCCTTTTGTAAGATCTCATTCGTGTCCCGAACCCTTAATCAACCCGAAAATGTAAACCTCACCTAAACCTAACCCTTGACCCGCAGCCCTATACAGCCCTAAACCCTAAAAGCCTAAACTTCCCTAAACCCTACGCTCTAAGCCCTAACCTCTGAAACGTATTGCCGTATGATGTTCGGCATGTCCCTCAAGGCGCCATATCTCCTCACGGAGGGCAACGAGTGCGGACTATGCCCCGACAACTGCGACAAATGCACTTTTGGATTCTAGGTGCCCCAGCAGTACCCGTTTGTCGTTTTTAGTATGGGGTCCCCTTACTAAAACCGAATATTATGAAAAAAGGTACCCTTTATTACTTATTATTAACCCTAAACCCTAAACCAGGGTACCCCTTATTACTTAGTATTAAAGGGTTACTGGAGAACCGAGGATTGAAGTGCGATGTGTGCAAGCCGTACCCGAGCTGCTTTGGTATCATGCGGCCCTGTTGTAGGCCATCTGCATTACCATATATATATAGGACTTTCCACAAAATAAACGGGGGGGTGCCTTATTTTGGGGTCCTTATAATAAGGATCCTACTATTTAGGGTACTATGGTAGGGTCCCCTATTTTCGGCAATGTGTGGTGCTCTCTTTATCCACTCAAGCATAAGATCCAGCAGCCTAGGCCCTTTGGCTGGACCGACGATTGGAAGTGTGCCAAGTGCGAGCCAAACTGCAAATCTTGCAGAAAGAACGGAGCCGCGAAGTGCGACGAGTGCAAGGAGAACTATGCGTTGAACAAGGGCACCAAGAAGTGCGAGAAGTGTGCCGATCACTGCGAAAGTTGTGACACTCAAGGGGGTGGCAAGTGTGACGTCTGCAAGGCCGGGTACGGATGGACGAATGATTGGAAGTGTGCACCCTGCGCTCCAGGGTGTAAGGATTGTGCCCAGGCAGGAGCAGGTAAATGTAACAATTGCCAGCCCAAGCACGCATCTGGGTAGCACATTGGGAATTGTAACTTCCTTTTTGCGCTGATAGAGATGCCTAAACCCTACACCGCAAACCCCTAAACCCCAAACCCTAAACCCTTCAGTACTATTTTGGGGGTCCAGAAATTCAGCTCAGGCATGGAATCAGCAGACAAACGCCTGCGAGCCCTGTGCCCCGAACTGCCAGAGCTGTGGGCGCGCAGGCCCTGGTTGGTGCGATGTGTGCGAGGATCCGTATGAGGTCTCTTAGTTTTCCAACCTGGACCCCACATAACCTACCTTTTTAGGGCTCCTTATTATAATTTCTTTATATAAGTCCTTAAAGAGGTAGGTTCTCTGGGGTTAAGGGTTAAGGAATACCCAACCTTCAAATCTCTTGTTTTCTTACAGATTACAATGTAGTAGTAAGCTGAAAGTTTAACCTGATATTTCCCTGGCTTATTCCGGAAGTAAGGTATCGAAGAAGACGTGGAAGTGCGAACGCTGTGCGACGAATTGTGTGGAGTGCAAGAGCGCAGGTGGTGGCAAATGCGATGTGTGCAAGAAGGGGTACGGGATAATAGCAGTTCAGCAGATTTGCGACGAATGTGATCCAACAAATAAGCGGTGCAAAAGCTGCGATCGTGCTGGCGCTTACAGCTGCGATGAGTGCAAGCCTGGGTACGAGCTCGGCGCGACGTCACGGACGTGTTTCAAGTGTGCCAGCAATTGCGTCACTTGTGCGAATGCCGGAGAGGGCAGATGCGACTCGTGCGCCGACGGCTATGCCCTGACCTGGGACCGGCAGAGCACATGCCAGCCCTGCGGAAAGAATTGCCTCAGTTGTGCTCAGGCCGGTCCAGGCAAATGTGACCGCTGCGCTGACGGTTTTGCGCTTGACGATGGGAAAACCTGCAGAGCATGTGCTTCCAACTGCAGAGTGTGCAGAAAAGAGGGTCCAGGGCATTGTGACGATGGTGGTTGCCAGCTCAAATACGAGCTCACAGCTGCTCGTACTTGCGAGCCATGTGCCGATAATTGTGTCAGCTGCAAGACTGTCGGCGGTGGGTTCTGTGACGTTTGCGCCTCACACTACGGTCTCACTACTGACTGGACCTGCGGTAAGTGTGCTGACAATTGCAGAACCTGCCAGAATGCAGGCGCTTCCATGTGCGATGAGTGCAATGACGGCTACGTCCGCACAGCTTCGAAGACATGTGCATCGTGTGCCAAGAGCCTGTATCCTTGTTAATCCCTAGGGCTACAGGTACTTAAATAATGGGTTACTGTGTTACACCTTATAATGCTAGTAACCTACCATTTAGGTATCTGGAGCCTTGGGGAATAAGAAAGACACGACGAGAAGTTAAGTTACCACAAGAATAGATAAGTAGACAATACTTCCTTGTTATGGTATTTTTCATCCCTTTTTCTAACAGCTTAAGCTAAGTACCTTAGTAAAAGTCCAGGAACTGCCGCGGCTGCGCCATCGCTGGAGCATACAAGTGCGACGCCTGTGAGCCGAAATATGGACTCACCGAGTCTTTCCTCTGATTGATGGTCTACCTGTAGCCGAAAAATTCTAGCTATTTTTTTGGGGGGGGTTCCTTATTATGGGTTCTATGTGTATATACACATATATACATATATGTTCTTTCATACAAGGGTAAGGCTTGCTGGGGCCCACAGGTAGGGTTCAGGGCTGAAGGTTTAAGGTTTAGGGTGTACGGCTTCCAGGGTTTAGGGTGATATCGGCCTCTTCTTTCGCGGTCCGAATCAATATTAACACTATTCATGAGGGTTGCAGTTGAAATAATAGTTTAATATCGCCCTCCAACAAAAAGCCCTAATTTTCTCACGCCCCAAACCAGTACGACAATCCCGTTTTGCGGCATCGCCGATTTCAATACACTGCGCTCCCATATAGATGGTCCATGCACACGGAACCGCCCTTTGCCCTGATCTCCAAAGTGTGCAAGCCCAAAGCCTTGAACCTGAATTAGGCGCTGAGAGGCCTCAGTTAGTTGATTATACCGTCGCAGTCTTTACAGGGTTCTCTATGTAGTTGCGGTATCAAGCCCTGCAGGTTTAGAATCCGTTTCTGCTTTCGAAAACCCTGCAGACTTTGCGAGGCCGGGCAAACCTGCGAGAAGTGCGCGAAAAATTGTCGCGACT